TCAGCCCCTGGCTCCCGTGGGTGGTGCAGAAGCATCTTGGAGGAGTCGGTCTGGGAGCACGTAGATGTCTGGGCCTGCTGAGTCACGCCTGCAGCTGTGTTGTCCAGTGGGGCTCACCTGCAGCAGTGACCACTGTGCCACAGCCTGTTGGTGGTCCTCGACCCCTCAGTCCGTCTGTTTTATTAACTGACACTCTTCTTTGGTCAGAGCGGTTCCTTCTCCCCTTTGTTTATTTGGTTATTTTTTACATCAATAAGGACTCAGTCTATATTTTCACTTGTTTTATGTGAGTCTCACTCCAGCATTGTCCTGAGTTTGCTGCTTAGGTAGTGCCAGGGTGGCATTGGGAGCTCCTCAGCTGTGACTTTGTTGGCACCTTGAGCTGCCCTGGGTTCCCCTGGTCTTCATAGTGACTTGGACTCTAGTTGCATTGGGCAGTCCCATGCAGAATGTCTGCAGTGCAGAAATGAGGTGACAGTTTGCAGTTCCCTGTGCTCCTGATGTGTTAGGATCCATCCCCAGGTGACGGTGGCTTCCTTTTTGTCAGTGGTGCCTATGGCTGTCAAGCCGATGCCATGTTCTGCAGCTGTGTCTGTTCTCTTTCCTTGTGTCTGACGTTTCCTGTTTGATCCAGGACAGTTCTGATGTGACTTAGGCTTCCCCCATGCACACCATATATTTTACCACAGAGGCTTTGTGGGGGCAGCCTGTGGGGCCTGGTTTCCTCACTAGCCTCAGGACCCTGATTCTCACAGGGGATGGGATGCTTGTTATTACCGAGTGTCCGGCTTATCTAAAATAGGGTCCTCCTGCTTGCCGCCTGGTCTTAGAATGTGGGTTTGAAGCTGTTTTGAACGGCATCTAGTTTACTTGGTGAGGACACTAATTGCCTTTAATCTGTGGCTGCTTCTTGAGGCAGAGCCAATTGGGTCACTTTTGACAAATTGAGATACCCTGGGGTCTGGAGGCAGCCCGGGGCCCCCTGTCCCATGATGGCCGTCACTGTGCTGACCGTTCGAGACCATCAGCTTTACATATTCTCACATGCTAGAGAAATGTAAAGAATTTTTGTTAGCACCCATAAGCCCGTGTGCCTCTTGGGTAGATCAGCAGTGGACAGATCCCCTGGCCAGAGTTAGGAACAAGAAGCTAACATTTATTATGAGAAGTGAAGCAGCTGCTCTTGGTGTGTAATGAATTGACCCCATACTGAGCGCCCTACCACAACACCTGTGTGTCATCACAGTGCCTGTGTACCATGCCTAGGGGCTCTCCCAGGCTGTAATCAAGGTGCCATCAAAGGCCAGGGTCTCACCTGAAGGCCTGACCAGGGAAGGGCTCACTTCTGAGCTCACTTACGGGCTGTTGGCAGGACCCACCCTCTCACACTTTGTTGAACTGAGCTCACAGTTCCTTGCTGGCTGGGGTGCCCTGAGTTCTTTGTCAAGTAGGCCCCTCCATCACAGCCAGGAGGAAGAGCCAGAAAGGATGTCTGCCTGGCGGGAGGCCTCATCTTCCATAGTTTGTTCTCCAGGTGTGTCTCCTTACCTCTGCCATGTTGGTTGGGTAGAAGTGAGTCCCACCCAAACTTGAGTAGGGAGCACGAGGGCACGGGCATCAGGATGAGGCCCATTGGGGGCTGTCCTAGAGGCTGTGTCAGAGGGTGCTCAGTGGGTTTGGCAGTAGGTGATTGTGGGGACTTGTCTAGACTGAGAGAAATGTCTGCCCTCATTGTTCTTGCCTCCTGGATGGATGTTCAGGCTGTGTGGCCCTCAGCCTTCTGCAACAGTCTCTGGACAGGGCTTCTGCCGGCTGCAGGACTTGGGTGGGTGTGGAGGAGCTGGCTGCCGTGAGGCCTTGGCACCCCTGGGAAAGGCACCCTTTCCCACAGTGGTTGCTGCAAGGGGTCCAGGGTGTGTGCTCCCTTGGAGCCCCCCCTGCGTGGGGCTGCGTGTGAGCCTCCCCGCCTTTCTGGGTGGCGGCTCTCCTCTCTGAGAACCTTGGAGTGGCTGTGCAGATCCCTCTGTGCCCTCTGGTGATAGGCAGCTCTTACGCTGGTGGAGCTGGGGGGTTTGGGGGGCGACAGTGCATAAACATAAACTGTACACTTACTCTTTGAAAGTGCACACTACAGTTTCAGTGTACTCCCAGAGTGCAGCCTTCCCCACAGGCAGGTTTGGGACATTTTGATCACCCCAGAAGGAAGCCTGTAGCGAAGCAGAGATAGCACGCAGCCCAGCAGTTCCTCTGCCGGTTGTGTCCCCAAAAGCATGGAAGGCGAGGACGCGGACAGCCTTGGGCACCAGTTCCTGGCAACACTGAACCCAGGAGATGGTTGGGGAACACCCATGTGTCTGTCAAGCAGTGGACATACAGTGGGCCCTCCACACGAGGGACTATTACTCAGCCGTAAGGAGAAGTGAAGTCCAGGGGCGCGCTACAGCTGGCACGGATGGACCATGAAAACATGTGCCCAGCGTGAGAAGCCAGACCCAAGTTACCCACTGATAGGCTCTAGAGCAGGCAAGTGCAGAGGCAGGAAGTGGGCCAGTGGTCACCAGGGCAGGGGCTTGGGAGTATTGCTTCATGGGAACAGTGTTTCCGTTTGGGGGGCTGGGGGGGTGGCTGTCCAATATGGGGGTGTACCATGCCACTGGCTCGCGCCCTTGGCAGTGGTTAAAATGGCACATGTTGACTTGTGTACGTTAACCACAGTAGAGAAGGAAGGAAGGAGGAGAGGAAGGAAGGAAACCCACGCCCATCAGCTGGCACTCTCCCATCCCTCCCCCAGCCCTGGCAACCACCATTCTCCTTTCTGTCTGTGCACTGGCCTGTTCTAGACCTCTCACCTGAAAGGAGTTGCAGTGGCCACGCCATTTCCTAGCCCCACCGTAATACTCAGGGTTCCGATTTCTCCACATGCTCGCCCGCACTGGTGTTTCCTGATGGTGGCCATCCTAGTGGGCATGGAGTGGTGTCCCATGTGTCCACGTGCATCCCTGATGAGCGGTGACATGGAGCCTCTTCTCTCCCTGGAGAGGGGTCCACTCTCCTCTTCTGCTGCCTACATGGCTCTGCTCTGCTCTTTGCTAGTTCCTGGGTTGCATTTAAGGCCTTTGAAGACTGGCTGGAGCTTTCCTCACTTGTCCCCGAGAGCTGTGGCTGCCTGGTGGTCTTCTGATGTTTACCTGTTTGATCCAGGACAGCTCTGATCTGACTTTGGCTTCCCCCCCTGCGCACCATGCATTTAACACAGAGGCTTTGTGGGGCGGTCTGTAGGACCTGGTTCCCTCACCAGCCTCGGAACTCTGTTTTTCACAGGGGATGGGATGCTTATTATTGAAGTGACTGTTCCCTCCAGATTCTCAGACCAGCTCAGGTGCTGTTACAGCTGCTGTTACAGCTGCCTGATGGGCCTCACTCTGGAGGTGCTCATCCAGCACTGGGCCCCAGGAATCTGCATTTCTAACTAGTTTCTAGGTGGTGCTGATGCTGCTTGTTAGGGCTCCCCCTCTGGGAACCCCTGGTTTACAGGTCCATCTCGCCCTCACCTGGTCTGTAAGATGGGGTACCATGGATTCGAGCATGACCCCTCAGTCAGTTGGAGGATAGTAACAGGAATGCTAAGTCCCTGGGTGCTGGAAGGATTTATGCTTGACTGCTAACCTAAAGGCTGGCAGTTCTGAGCCTCCTGGCGGCACTATGGAAGAAAAGCCCTGGTGACATGCTTCCTTAAGGTGGCAAACAGAACCACCCTGTGGAGCAGTGCTCTGTTGCACACAGGGTCGCCAGGAGTTGAGATGGACTCCTCGGCACGTACCAGCAACATCAAGGACGCTCAGAGGGTTGTCTGTCTTTGCCTTAAAAAAAAAAAAAAAAAAAATCCATAGAGTCCGAAAGTGGATTGGTGGGCATCTCGGGGATAGGAAGGGGAGTGAGGCGCCTGCTCTCGGGCTGGGGCTTTTTCTGGGTTGGTCAGAAGTTCTGGAATTAGATAGTGGTGACGGTTACACAGGCTGGGGACTGAGTTGAACCACTGCAATGCTCACGTCAGGCAGGCGAAGTGTGTTATGAATGACACCTTTGGAGCCCTGGTGGTGCAGGGGCTAAGCACTCGGCTGCACACCAAAAGGTCGGCGGTTCCAGTGTACTCAGCAGCTGGACGGGGAGGCGTGGTGATCTGCTCATGTGAAAATGACAGCTGGAGAACCCTGTGGGGCAGTTCTGCTCTTCACATGGAGTTGCTATCAGTCGGACTCAACTCCCAGGAACAAAAGAGCTGGTAGAAAAAAATCAGGCTTAGGACTCAAATGTGCACTTGAGAAGTTGTGTCTGTACCGTTGCTGGACGTGCAGTGTGCTAGGCGCTGTTGTAAGACCCTCACGCACTCCCCTGTCTACATCTACATGCTGCCCTGCTCTGTGGAGACAGGTCTCCTAACTCGGGCTACAAGTGCTGGCTGCCTGGCCTTGGGGACTGACAGCATCTCAGCAGCCCCTCCCCCATGGGCAGCTGGGAATTGGAAGCTGGCTTGTGGCTCCCTAGGCCAGGGCCTTGCCTGTTTCCCTGTGCCCTTCCTGCACTAGGACCCAGGACAATGGGCCTGCAAGTGGGTGCTGGGGCGAGTAGGGAGCTGGGGCACTGGCAGCCACAGCCAGCAACACTGAGGCTGCCTTGCAGGCAGGTCTGTGGAGCCCTCCTCACAGATTGTGACCTGACTTGTCACCTGTCCTTATCCCCTGGTTGTGAGGGCCTGGTACAGCTGGCTTGCTGCGACCTCCCCCAGGAGGGAGCTCTGCCTGGTAGGTTGTGTGGCTCTAGCTCCCAGTGGGTCCTGGGCCCCTGGGGAACGGCTGGGGTGTCTTTGGTGGGTAGGTCTTGGCAGCCCTGCCTTGGTTGGGGGCTCAGAGAGATGTCAGGTGAGAAACGGAGTAGTCAGCTAAAAGGAAAGATTAACCACACGGTGCCTCTTCTGCCCACCTCTGGGGGCTGTTTACCCCATGACCACCCAGGGAGTGCCACCCAACCTGCTGTGCACGCCGCGACCACCACCTTGGGGGGGCGCCAGCCCACCGGCTCTGAAACTGTTTCCGTTTGTTTTTCAGGACAAACATCACGATGCTGCTCATGAAATCATCGAGACCATCCGGTGAGTGGCCAGCACCTGCTCAGGTGCACACGGGCTTCCAGAGGCCCCATGGGAAGTGACTTTATAGAGCCATGACCCAGTTCCTGGTCCTCCCTGGTCGCGGGCTCTGACTCAGGGGGCCCCTCCCAACAGCAGAGCTGAGCTGACAAGTGAGCAGACATCAGCAGTGCCCCCTCCCAGGAAGCCAGGTCATTTCTCCCACCCTGAAAACCTGAGTCCCCGTGTGGTGTACGTGGTGGGTGTGCTTGGCTGCTCCCCAGAAGGGGCGTCCACCCTGGGGCGCTGTGCAAGAAAGGCCTGGCAGTCTGCTTCTGAGAGTCCCAGCCACTGAGAGCCCAGCTCTCCTGTAGCACACATGGGGTCACCAGGAGTCAGGGTCTGCGACCATGCTCTCTGCTTTTTCTATAACCCCCCTTCCTGTGAACTTCTCAGCTGGCTCCCCCTCATGGCTCTTTATAGCTCCCACTTTCCCATGCTTCTCAACAGCTCTGGCTGCCAACATGGAACAGGGATAAGAGCCTGGTCAGGGAGGCCCACAGTCTGATGTCACTTTTCTGCACTTTCTGGGGCAAGTCACACTGCTCTGAGCTTCAGATTCTTGACCAGTGAAATGGGGCCAGGGATCCTAAGCCACAGCCCCGCTTCTCCCATCTCCTTCCCATAGCCTTGTGTGCCTTTAGTCTTCTTTGGTTTGCTGCCGATTAGCACAATGCTTGGTGGCTGGTCGGCACCAAGGGGCCCATGTGTTGGGGCAGGTCTCTGATGATCCACCTGAGGGGACAGATATGTCAGGATGGGTCTGTGAGTGGTTTACTCTGAGGGTCTCCATGTGTCAGGGTGGGTCTGTGAGGGGTCTTTACCAAGTATCTCATGTCTGAAGTGGGTCTGTGAGTGGTCTGCACTGAGGGTCTCGTGTCGGGGTGGGTCTGTGTGTGGTCTGCACTGAGGGTCTCATCTCAAGGAGGGTCTATGAGTGGTCTGCACTGAGGGTCTCGTGTTGGGGTAGGTCTGTGAGTGGCCTGCACCATAGGGAAAGATGTGTTGGGGGCTAGTCTTTGAGTGGTATGTACTCAGGGTCTCATTGGGGAGGGTCTGTCAGTGGTCTGTACTGAAGGTGTCATGTTGGGGAGGGTCTGTGAGTGGTCTGTCCTGAGGGTCTCGTGTCAGGGCGGGTCTGTGAGTGGTCTGCACTGTGGGGACAAATGTGTCAGGGAGGGTCTGTAAGTGGTCTGCACCGAGGGTCTCATGTCAGGGACGGTCTGTGAGTGGTCCGCACCGAGGGTCTCGTGTCGGGGAGGGTCTGTGAGTGGTCCGCACCAAGGGTCTCGTGGCGGGGAGGGTCTGTGAGTGGTCCGCACCGAGGGTCTCGTGTCGGGGAGGGTCTGTGAGTGGTCCGCACCGAGGGTCTCGTGGCAGGGTGGGTCTGTGAGTGTTCCGCACCGAGGGTCTCGTGTCGGGGAGGGTCTGTGAGTGTTCCGCACCGAGGGTCTCGTGTCGGGGAGGGTCTGTGAGTGGTCTGCACCG